AAATGTACTGGGAGTGGAACAAAATTGTAGCATTTATAAAAAATTCCTGACGCGCGACAGTTGGGTGGTGTTGTGTGTGCGTGCGTGTTGTTTTTGCAATTTGAATAAAATAAATTAATAAAACAAAAATAAATAAAAATATTAATTTGAAATATATATACAAAAATTTAGGTAATTTGTTTGTTGCTAACGAATAAAAACAAAGCATAAATTTAAGGTAATTATAACAAAAAGAAAAAAGTTAAAAAAGAAAAAGTGATACCGTGTAAAAAAAAAATTATAAAGCATCCTTTTATGCGTCGTGTATAAGTTCAGTTTTTTATCGTATCGTATGTACTGGAAGTTACCTCTACCTATCAACCAACAAAGCCAGCCTCACCCTCTTTCCGTTTATCTTGGGTTGTGCTTGGTTTTTCTTAATATCTTTCAGCCGTTCCTTGTTGGATTTATTGTGCCGTATTCTTAGTTTTATTGTTTTTTTTTTTTGTATGTGTACATGTCCTGTATGTCACAAATCTTATGCTGACATCTTGGATGTTGATGCGGGTGCTATTCTAAAAACAACTTGTCTCTTATTTTATATAGTGTCAAGTATTTTTTACACAAAAAATACAAAAAATTAAGAAAAAAGAAACACAATTTTATATTGAAGTGCTTTTCTAAATGCTGTTCACTTTTTATTTGTACTGAAAACATTTAAAAAAAAGTTGGCATAAAAATTTAAAATCTTTAAAATCTAATGAAGAAAAAAAGTGCTCAATATCCAATAATATAATGACCAGTAGTATCAATAAAACAACAACAAATTGGGAAGATTTATAAAGAAAAACAAAAGTTTACAGTGAGTGAAAGAAAAACTATCCATAACAACAAAATCAACAATCAATTTTAAGTTACATGTGCCATAATCATCTTTGGGATGCCAAAGCCCTTTTTATTTTGATGTCCATCTTTATCATGTGATTCTTTGTCGTTTCTTTTCTCCTCGAAATCAACAATAATTTGCTGTATAATTTATTATTTATCATTTGCCAAATGTTACTAGTTGATGTCTAATTTTCAAGGTAAGATTTTTTTTCTTCTGTACTTTCCCCTTTACTTTTAATAAGGTTTCCATTTACTCTCCGAGAGAAATGCCGATATACATTTGTACACACCTTTTATTAAGTTTCCTTTTTTCTAATTAATTTATCCTATTTTTTCATCCTTGTTTTCACTCTCTTTTTTTGTCCTTATGAAATCGAAACATTCATGCCAACACACAGTCTGTGTTATTTCTCAGCTATTAATTGTGTGTGTGTGTTTCTGTTGCTATTGTTGTTGATTTTTTTTTTTTTTACTTTTTCTTATCAGTTGTGTATATTTTATTTTGTTGCTCATGCTGTTGTTGTTTCTGTATTTTCTCATATTCTTTTAACATCTATCTAACCATCCATCCAGTGTTTGTTGTTGCGCTATCATTCATTCATGTTGTTTATTTGTTGTTACTTTTTGTTTAATTATTATATTTTTGTTTTTATTTTCTATATAATATTTTCAGCAAGAGTTGTCTTTGTTTTTTTTAATAAAGTTTTGTTTTTGTTTTGTCTTATTTGTTTCATGTCTGTGAATGAAAGTGATGTATTTGACTGACTCATAGTTTTTTTTTTTTTTTGTTTTTGTTTATTCTGGAGTTCTTTTTTAGGACAATTGTTGTTAAATCAGGGGGGAAAATAAAAATTTTGTATTAAAATAAGTTTTTATTAATAATACGGTTTGCATACCCGGTATCATTGTTATATTCCTTTTTTTACGTTAGAGGATATTTAACACCGGTTTAATTCTACTATGTGTCAAGAAATCATTCAGTGGTGTGACCAAAATCAATCCCCATTTGTCCCATAGTCTCATATTAAGCTCCTTTAAGATTATTAAACTAAAAATTCAATATTGTATTCAATACATAATTGAAAAAATATTAAAATTTGTATCGCTGTAGAAATCTTACATATTTTTACTTATGCGCCCTTTAAAGACCTATTGAATTCCCTGATATAGGGAATCAAAAGGTCTTACATGCCCGTCTGAGTTTTTTACTTGGGGGTTTTTATAATTTCAAATAAAAATTACGTTTAACCAAATCAATGTTTGATTAATAAATTGTTTACAACAAATAGGTTCGCTTGTCCCCTAATATTCCGGATATGTAATTTCCTGTACTAAAATTTTCTTTGTTATATTGCATTTCTGATTACTTCTGACTATGTCTGACAAAACTTAGAACATATCGAATATTTCATCAGCATGACTATTATGTGGACTAGGCTATGGACTTACCTATGTACTAATTAGTCTATTAACCAGTATACTATTGATTTACCTATTAATTTTTCTATCGATTAGTCTTGTGACTAGTCTATATTTTCGATTAAGATATCCGGATGGTTATTTTCTTAATTGATTTTCGGAAACTTATATAACAACTATGATCAATTATGGAACGGTTTTAGGTTTTAGTAGTTTATACGATTTATGTTGATATACGATATTCTAGAAAGAGTTATTAACAATATATTCATATTCCAGGAGTATGTAAATTTATGTGAGAGGTATATTTTTAAGCCGATTCTAATCATTTTCAACCATATACATATACCCTTCTCACTTTGTATTGTCTCGGTTATGAAGTTTAAAACCCAACTCGAAGGAAGAGAATTTTGGTAAAAGACTGATACTTCGGGATAAGTTGGGTGCTGTTGCCGAATGAGATAGCAGTTACACTGCAGTTGAGTGAATGTGTTATTAAGTGTCAAGTGTATATGATATGGGATGCCATCCGTATATCTAGAGTGAATGTAACGAATGTTTTTCTCAATAAATGTGACGCATAAATGAGAAGTGTGCTAGTTTGAATATTGATGAATGAACGGATTCTTATAATAGTGATACCATTTTAGTTACCTTTCTTATCAGGGTATGTTCAGGGTTTACTCTGTTCATACCAGACTTAACACAGTGTATTCTCTGTGAGTGAGGATTTCTGTTTCGCTTATTTGATGGATTCGTATTTCGATAACTTTTTTAGGTAATTTTAATAAATTTTTAAGTTTTACCAGTATTTAGCGAAAAATATAATTAAAAATTCATAGATATTGTCAAATTCACCCATTTAATACCGAATTTATAGATATTTTAATGCTTTAATTGACAGATATGTTCGGAAACTACGTGTTATAGCTTAAACCAATAATAAGCTATATGTTCACTTGCGATGATGTCTGTGGTGGAATTATTTCAATATATTTTTATATTTACTTAATTCCTTTCTTACTTACTTATTTTTCTCAAATTCTTTATACACATTTTTATCTATTATTCATTTGTCATCACTCAAATTATATACACATGTCTACTTTTGTTAGAAATTCAAGAAAAAAAATGTTCAGTTGTTAATTCATTTAGCACATCTTATTATTGTTAAATTTTGCTACAATTTCTATTAGTATTATGTTAGAATTATTATTATTATTATTATTTTGAAATTTTAAATATAATAAAACAAGTAAAAAAGAATAGTCTAGCAAAAATACATGTAATAAAAAAAATCAAAAGAAATATTCAAACAAGTTCGACTATATAAAACTCTACAGGGTGTTACCATTTAAAATTGCAATTTAAAGATTGATTATTTTAAGTTGGATGTTGGTCAAACATGCAAAGATCATTATAAGTTCATTATTAAATTTTTAAATTATTGCAGAGTAATTTAAAACAAAAAACACATTTAGAATGAAAACAAACTTTTTAATACTTTTTTTGTAAATTAATGAGAAGAGAGTATTTACATATAAACACATATATACATATATTTCAGATAATAAAAATATTTTTTATATTTTATTAACTTAACAAAGCATTTGCTAAATTCTCAAATATACAAACATTTAAAAATGTCATAATTATACCCTACACCACTATAGTGGGGAGGGTATTATACGTTTGTGCTGATGTTTGTAACACACAAAAATATTGGTCCTACACCCACCTTTAAGTATACCGATCGACTCAGAATCACATTTGAGTCGATTAAGACATGTCCGTCCGTCCGTCCGTCTGTCCGTCCGGCTGGCTGGCTGTCCATGTAAACCTTGTGCGCAAGGTACAGGCCGCATTTTTCAAGATAATTTGATGAAATTTGGACCAAGCATGTTTTTTGGCACAAGGACAAAGCCTATTGAAAATGGTTGAAATCGGTCCATTATTTCACCTAGCCCCCATACAACCGTACCTCCCGATTTGGGCTTTTTATGCCATAATTACGTCAAATATGCTATTATCTCTCTAAAAATTGGCACAAATAAGTTTTATATAAGTATAAATGACACTGCAGATTTTCGTAATGATCGGCCCTTATTTGAACCTAGCCCCCATACAAACCCCCCTTCAAAAAATGTCTTAAACGTCTAAAACTGACTTGACTGACCATTTGCATAGCAATGAAACTCAACATAATTAACTATTATTTAACAATATATCCTTTTCCCAAATTTAATGAGGATCGGCCCATGTTTGACCTATACTCCTATATAAAGCCTCATTTAGAAAATTTGTTTTTTTATCAATAAATTGCTTAAATACTTTGGAATTAAGGTAAAATTCAACATAAAAGTTTCTTTGTGAAAAATGTAAATTTTTAAAATATACTCATGGTGTAGGGTATTATATGGTCGGCCATGCCCGACTATACTTTCCTACTTGTTTTTCTTTGTTTCAACTGCCTTTACTCGAGGAAGTAAATGTTTAAAAATGTTTATTTAATAAGAAGTTTGTAAAACTTGTTTTTCTTAAACTAATTGCTATATATTTTTTAAACAAGTGTTTGTTTTTAAACAAGTGTGTGTTTTTAAACAAGTATATGCAATTTTACTAAAGGAAATTCCGTTATAAATTTTAATAATCTAAATATAAAGCTGAAATCAGTGAAGGGCATAAAGAGATCTATTTTTGTCTTATGTTTTTTTTATAATAAAAGATTTAAAGACATTTTTTTGGAATAAAAAAGCTATTGTTTATTAATTATTTTTCCATTTTGTCTTTATTTAAAGTTGATATAATTTTGTGCGCTATTTTCTTTGTTTGCCCACCACTGTTTTCAATATTATGTATACGCACGTGCCATGTTTTGAGGTGCTAAAATACTTTTTAAGATTTTAGTTTGCTTTTGTTATTGCTTATAGATGATGATAGTATTTAATTTGTTTATATTTATATGCAAAACTTTCACTGGAAGTTAATTATATTTTTAAATATTTTTTAATGGATTTTCATTAATAAATAGAAATTAATTTTTACTTGAAAAGTATTTAGATGGCAAAAGTATTAACTTTACTTTTTAAATATGAAAGTAACGAGAAAAATTCTTAATATTACCTTAAGTTGAGGCAACCGTTTGCTTTTGTTTTTGCTTATAGATGATGATAGTATTTAATTTGTTTATATGCAAAACTTTCACTGGAAGTTAATTATATTTTTAAATATTTTTTAATGGATTTTCATTAATAAATAGAAATTAATTTTTAGTTGAATAGTATTTAGATGGCAAAAGTGTTAACTTTACTTTTTAAATATGAAAGCAACGAGAAAAATTCTTAATATTACCTTAAGTTGAGGCGATCGTTGTATTATAGCGGCTTAATATAAGATATCAGATTACCTTGGAATCTGAAATCGGGAATGGCTCAGCAGCTGCTTATTCCATCAGTCGATATTACCAAACTTAGTGCACAGTATAAAGGTTTTTTTGACGATCACTGTGTCAGGGTGTGTCATCCTGTAGAAACCAAAGATTAAAGAAATATACCTAGAAGGGGTCGTGAGGGGAGGTTCTGTTAAGTTTTAAAATTATCTGTTAGATAACATCGTAGTCGTATTAAATTTAAGTTAACTACACTTAAGCCGCCGAAGTGATTATTTTAAAATTTGAGATTAGATTTTTACCTATAGAGTCTACATATCCATAAAGGGTCTGTAAAGCAGGCCGGCAGCACTAGTAAATTACTACAACTTATGATGCTAAGAATTACTT